ACATCCATGCTTTTCACATGGACAGCTATATGTGGCCTGTTCACACGTCGGAAAACCTTCTGATTTATTTGTGTACGGGCCAGACGGAAGAACAAAGAACATTGTTTACCCGAAAGCACTTCAGTAAACACAATAACAATGTCTTTTTAAATTACCTGTTTTTTTCCTTCAGAAATGAAATCGGCACAATGATCCAATATAATTACATTTTGTTAAAGCGATTCTCCTTTCAATTCAATTTCTATTGTAGCAACGCGTGCAGGGTAGTTTACAGCAATTAGCATATGTGTTCATTTCGTAATTATGGTGTATTTTTCCTGTTTTCATTGCTTTTCACTAGGGATATTTTTCCAACTACTTCGATGAGGGAGAAAGCAGTAGGTGAACTGGGTGATGGGTGGTTAAAATAAACTGTTTACTGAGATAGATTTAAGTTACAGTAACTGCCTTACCCACTTAAAGTATTATTAGCTGTGGTTTAGCTGTTGCACTGAACATCGCTGCCGTGAAGCAAAGACAGATTTCTATGTTCTCTATTTTCTATTTAGCCATACTATGCCACAACAACGCGTGGCCGAGTACAGCTAGTTTCTTTATTAAAATTAGACTCTGCTAATATCTGTCAATCGAATTAAACATATTTACAGTCAGTTTGTTTAATTAATCAAATGTCGTCTCTACAATGAAGGTTGACTGCATTTGATGCCCAACACTCGTCCTGGTGTACACTCTCTGAAAATACTTCTTCTTCCTCTTCTTCTTCTTCTTTGCGTTCACCAGCTGTAAACTCTGGTGGAAAGTTTTGGTTGGTCCACTTTTGGACTGCAGTCCTGTTCCAGAACCTGTGTGTTGCGTTCGCATCCGTTTGACAGATCTGACGCATTTGTGTGCAGACTTGTGGTTCCTTGCCTCTCAGGCATATGCACCCTGACTTCGAAGGAAGCTCTCAATTAGTCGACTCTTACCACATGCTTTTGGGTAAGCAGTGGGTCTATTCTTGTTTTCCCTATAACAGGGCCCCAGAACCCATACGGGGGTCTGACAATACTGTTCTACATCTCTTTCCCTGTGGTCAAGCCATTCCTTCTCGCTCTGAATGTTGTGTGTTAGTTTCACAAACAAGTTATTCAGTTCAAGAATGCAGTTTTTACAGAGATCCATATTGATCTGCGCTGGAGATAGGGAGTTCATGCCTTGTGCGAAGCAGTCGTTAGCCGTTCTACTAAGAGAGACCAAGCCAAATGGGACAACACCAAGTTCAATAAAGTCACACCTCTGGGCGTGAACTATTTAAAAAAAAAATGTATTACATTATCCTTTAATTTTTTTAAATATAAATGTAATTTTTGCTCATTATGAATTTACAACAATATTGTGCTTTTTAATTTCGTAAAACATTTTCATTTGCCTCATCTTATTTTGTTTTGTTTTTATATTCCTTTCAACCAGTACAGCTGGATCTTTGTTCCATTTTTTCCATTAATTGCGACTTATCTCTCTATATATATCCAGATCTCCAGAGACGTATTCGACTTTCTAACTGCAAGTTTATTATCCACGCATCTATTAGACATCCATTCATTACAAGGTGTTTCTAATGAGCAATCTCCCTGCTGCAGATTATCAACGCAAACATTCTAATTCAGTTAGAGATTTCAATTAAATAGTATTCAGTGAACCCTCACATTAGTTTTATGCCCACACATTTGAATTTTTGAGTGAGCCACTAACGACATGTGACGGTTAGTGCGTATAACTAATGTACATTTCTTAAAATATTGCAGAAAATGTCTGCATGAATATTTATTTAGCAACAAATGTTAATGGTTGGAGCAAGAAGGACATTGAAATATTAACAAGGTGATTATGTGTTTTCTACGACAGCTCTCTGGCAGGTTAACGACAACAATGTCTTTTATATTTTTCAAACTTGGATTGTTTGATGTCATTCAAAGCGATTGGTAGAGTGAAAATGCGAGATCTTACGCACAGCAGAAAATGTCACGGACTTTACTTAAAAGATTGTGAAATTCTGTTGATTGGGCATCTTGCTTAAAATGACGCAATGCCTCAGGCAAAAAAGTAAAGCACCAAAAGTGCGCTGTGGAAGATTGCAGTGACCAGGAATGGTTGGGGATGTAGACATTTATGATAAAGTAAATTTATGAAATAGACACTTGTGTACGCCACGGGGTTGTTTGGTCGAATGCGCCACAACTAAGCTATCTCTTCACGCCACTGGGTTGTTTGGTAAAATGCGCCACAACTAAGCTATCTCTTCACGCCACTGGGTTGTTTGGTAAAATGCGCCACAACTAAGCTATATCTTCACGCCACTGGGTTGTTTGGTAAAATGCGCCACAACTAAGCTATCTCTTCACGCCACTGGGTTGTTTGGTAAAATGCGCCACAACTAAGCTATCTCTTCACGCCACTGGGTTGTTTGGTAAAATGCGCCACAACTAAGCTATCTCTTCACGCCACTGGGTTGTTTGGTAAAATGCGCCACAACTAAGCTATCTTTTCACGCCACTGGGTTGTTTGGTAAAATGCGCCACAACTAAGCTATCTCTTCACGCCACTGGGTTGTTTGGTAAAATGCGCCACAACTAAGCTATATCTTCACGCCACTGGGTTGTTTGGTAAAATGCGCCACAACTAAGCTATCTCTTCACGCCACTGGGTTGTTTGGTAAAATGCGCCACAACTAAGCTATATCTTTACGCCGAGGGGTTGTTTTGTCTAATGCACTACAACTGAGCTATTTCACGTCATGTAGTTGTTTGATTGAACCTGCTACAACTGAGCTATTTCTTCACGGCACGGGGTTGTTTGGTCTAACGCGCTACAACTGAGCTATTTCTTCACGGCACGGGGTTGTTTGGTCTAACGCGCTTCAACTGAGCTATTTCTTCACGGCACGGGGTTGTTTGGTCTAACGCGCTTTAACTGAGCTATTTCTTCACGGCACGGGGTTGTTTGGTCTAACGCGCTTCAACTGAGCTATTTCTTCACGGCACGGGGTTGTTTGGTCTAACGCGCTTTAACTGAGCTATTTCTTCACGGCACGGGGTTGTTTGGTCTAACGCGCTTCAACTGAGCTATTTCTTCACGGCACGGGGTTGTTTGGTCTAATGCGCTTCAACTGAGTTATTTCTTCACGGCACGGGGTTGTTTGGTCTAATGCGCTTCAACTGAGTTATTTCTTCACGGCACGTTTTTTTTTTTTTTTTAGGTCTAATGCGCTTCAACTGAGCTATTTCTTCACGTCATGGAGTTGATTGATGGAACGTGCTACACTGAGCTATATCTTCATGCCACGGAGTCGTTTGGTCGAATGCGCTACAATTGAGCTGTATCTCTACGCCAAAGGGTTGTTTGGTCTGATGCTCTACACTGAGCTTTCTCTTTACGCTACATGATTGATTGGTCCTTCAAGAAAATTGTCCGATATCTATTTAGACTGGGCCGACTTGTGTCAATGTCAACCTCTGCAAGTTTTGAAGCAAAGATGAAATAATTTTGAGCAAGTCATTTTTTTAAAAATTAGGACACACTCGAGTTCGCTGCCACATAAACTCACAATTCAAGATGGCGAATCAGCCATGGTACATGTAAAATGGCACCTCAGAAAACAGTTCACATCCTCCAGGACAATCTCTGATACAACAAATCAAAGCCAAACTTGTGGGTAAGAAAAACTGGTGCAAGCCACACTTTACGAGTCGCTGATTGAATTACAACAGACAGTAAAGTTCATACTAAAGACAACATTGCAGATATAGATAATCTAGATGATCTATTTCAAGTGAACGAAAGAAAAAGAAGAAGAACTTGCGAATTCGAACATACAACTACCGATACAGCAAGCGAGGCTGCTTGCTACTGAACTGCCCTAAGTGAACATTTTGTGATAACTAGGCGCTAAACCGTTCACACAATCTATAGTGCTACAATGATGTCGAGTAAACAAGAAAAGAAGTGTCTACATAAATCATACAATTATAAAATTCTTAACAATGATCATATATGCTGGGGTTTTACTTTATTTAAGATCAGAGTGCAACTCCACCACTTGGTCTAAGTATTTGCTTTTCTCAACGGGGTTAAAGACTTATTCAGAATCCCGAGCCCTTGAGGGTCTCTGCTGCAGATATCACCCGCCTCCCGACTTCAATGTGATTTGTCCTTTCTTTTTAGTTGGTGACTCCAAGATTTGGTATGTCTACCTGGATACTACCTCTTCACAATTGTCTTGGTCTGCCTCGTGGTCTACACATTTTACTCCCATGTGTGCACAGTATTTGCCTCTTTGTTTTCTTTCATTCTCTCATTGTGCCTGTGCTCAGATATTCGTCATAAAACTCTGATCTGGAACATTTGTAATAAGGCTTCATCTGTTTTATTTTTGCTCCAGATTTCAGAGCCAAGTAAGACAATTGGCCAGGTCATAGTTTCATATAATGTAGTCTTGATGTTACGAGAAAGAACATTTGATTTCAGTTGATGGTGTAAGTCATAGTAGACTTTAATTCCAGATTGTTTTCTAGATTGTATTTCTTTTCTCAATATACTGGAGCACATAAAGTTTGTACCCAAGTATCTGTCCCTTCCGGTTCCGAAACTTTCATGTCTATTTGTACATGGGCAGAATTTGTATGCTTTTCATGTCCTGTTATGTCTTATCTTGATTGCCGCGTAGTTCTATTTTTTAGCGGTTTCTTGTACGTGAGTGAGTGTTTTAGTGTATCTAATTAATTTGTTTCCAAATGTATGCAAGTATTCTTGTAGTTTCTCTTATAAAGGTATTTTTTTTTTTTTTCACTTTAAAGATAATTTCATTTTGGGTCAACCTGAAAAGAAATGAGAATAGAACATCGCCCTTGAGAGAGCCACGTGATATTCTGCTCTCTTGTCTATGGTTGTCTGTTTAATAGTATGTGTATGTCTTGTGAAAACTCTTTCGTATTAAACATGATAATCAACATCGCCAGACTCACCTGTCAAAAACTGCCAGAGCACTCAGATAATGCGAGTAGGATTTATAACGAAGTCGTGGATTCTTCATCACAGCGAAGGTCAAGGAGTTGGCTATAAGGCCCACCACAACGATGATATGGGAGACAATTATCTTCGTCATCCAACCCCACCGAGCAGGAGTCTCCGGCATGTCTGTCAAAATATACACATGCAATTTCATGATAGATCATAATTAATGGCTCTATATTATACGCCAATTAGGGATTTATATTAAATAGTCTCAAGTTATAGTTATCCCTTATATTTTGTTTTCAGTCAACACATTATAACAAGGTGTCAAAGTCTTCAGCGTATGTCCTGACAAAAACACCGGTCTGGATTAAATCCCATAAAACCGCAAATGCCTAGTGTATTTAGTCACCAAACATAATGGCAGCAGATAATGTCCATGTTTTTAAGGGGGTGGGGGGGGGGGGGGTCTGGATTTAAAAGATGACAAGGAAGGAATCTGTAAGGAGGCCTTAAGGTTAGTTGCGTATCCTCTACAGGACGTTGCAGAACCAACCTCATTAGCCCCTGGCTGTTGTGTGGTTTCACTAGGCAAATTTACATCCAGTAGTTTGCCATTGCTTCCTGGACGGTCGGCTTCCTGATACCACTGTCGAAACCAACGCAAGGCGTATGGCCCGCAGCTGGGATCGAACCCGGTACCCCGGCATTGCGAAGCGTTCGCATCGACTTAGCCACAAAGCCGACGTAAGGAGGCCTAATCGCCCCTAAAGGTTGAAGTGTAGAGGATCAATTTCTTTACCCCAGGTGTTATCCTATATGGCTCAGTCTCTTTCCACAAAACTGTTATCTGCCTGCCGAGAGCGTCGCATAGAGCACGTTCTCAGTAGCTCCCACGACGATCACCAGCGATTTCCGTAAAAATTGCACTCGTCAAATGAACTACGCAGCCGTGAAATGAACCCATGACCTTCAGGAAACGGCTTGACCAGTTTGCCACGGACCCCGTCCCCCTTCTCCCCCATTTAACCTGTTAAGCGTGTAGGTAAGCTTTCTTTTTATATTTGTGTTTTTTAATATTAAATTATTGAAGATATTTTAGTCTATTGCTGTGACTTAAGCACATTATCATCATCATTATTTTCGTTATCGACATTTTTATCATCGTCATTAGGCATTTACGCAAAGTCTTCGCGTCTTGAGCCCTCAACACCTAAAATGTTTGTAAAGAGGCTCAACCCTTCACAGCTCACCCCTTCACCTTCCAGTTTTGTCTTAGTCTCGGTACTGATCCACACTCATAGAAAACAAAAGTAGAAAGTTAAAAGGACACACTAGACAACATAAAAAACGGAAGCAATAGTTACCATACCGGGAATTGAACCTTTTATTTCCAAATAACTTTTACGCCTCGCTATGGAAACAAGTAAACGAAGAAACATCACCAGCTAGGTACCCCTCATTATTTATGAGCATGATTTGAGAAAAAAAATCTGACAAGGATGGATAATCGCCACTGGACCTCTTTCTGTTATTGATTAAAATGTGTACAGGCCATAAAGTTTACCACTGTAGAATAATCTGCCATTAGATTACTATACCACACAAAAAAAAAAAAATTTTTTTAGCCATTTATGTCCAATACGCCTGCAGACTTGGAAAAGGGTCCTGTGATTGTTTCACCAGATTACTGTTGAGGATCGCTTTTACGCCTGTTGTGCAAGGAGGTAAGGGTATTAGAGTCATATTTGCATGAGTGATGCGATCGGCAATACGCTTACCGCGTTTACTTCCCAGAACTCACCTGATACCTAGTTAAGGTTGCGTCAGCAAGAAAGACTGAATGTTATCGTTACCATACTAAATTTCAAGACTGTTGCCTCCAAATGACTGCGCCGAAATACCATTACTTTTCTTTAAAAAAAAAAAAACAAAAAAAAAAACGAATACTTGGGAAAGCAATCAAAAAAGCAAGCGAACTTTGGCGCTTCTATGGTATGCGAAACTTCAAACAGAGAGGAAAGATCCAAGATAGAAACATTAGAAACAATTGAAATATGTCTACATCTTGTCTCAAATAAACGAATATTCCCTCTTCGTGTTTACCAGCTGCAAACTCCGGCGGAAAGTTCTGGTTGTTTGTCCGCTTCTAGCCAGTTAATGAATCTAGATGTTGTGTGTACATCCGTTTCATGGATCTGACTTATCTGCTGCAGGCTATTGGTTCCGTGCATCTCATGCAGATGTACTCCGACTTCGAAGAAAACTCCCCATTAGTCGACTCCGACGACAAGCTTTGGGCGAGCAATAGGTCTGTTCTTGTTTTGCCCCGCAACCAACAAGAAAAAGAAATAAATGAATAACCCAGGGTCAATATCCTTGCACATTTTTTCCACGGCACGTTAATCCTTGGTTCTTAAAAAAAAATTGGTTAATTGTTAACAACTTTATTATAAGCTTTCTATTGATCAACATAGGCATTATTATGATAATATCAATATTCAATAAATTTTTTTTTTAATCCAGAAACCAAGAGTTGTTTACCCTTTATTTCGGTTCTATGGATATCGCAACCCTTATGTCTTGATTTTCTGACAAAAAGCCTTAAGTATTGAAAAAAATTGGCTTTTGGCCTACCCGCGTGCGTAAACTCGGACCACAAGGAGTTCGTCACCCGGTCGCTGCCCAGTCAGGTTTGAAAATTTGAGCTAGCAAGCCGGGCCAAAAAAAAATTGTTATAAAGTGATTATTGGCATAGGTGCTATCCATGTTTTTAATGAAATCTGCCCGCTACATGCATCATTCCTTGCGTCCTTCTTAGGACGTTATTTTTTGTTATTTGAAGCCCCACTCTGGCTTTTGCCAGGGGCCGCAATATAGGCAGGTCATCATTATGGCCAAATGTCTGAACGCGGTTTCTGGGACCTCTCCACGGTGATCCTCATCCGCATGGTGGCACTTTGTGCCATCGGGTGTTTATCGCTTGTGTGATGTCCTGGTGGGGTAGAAAGTCAGTCAGTCAGTCGCTACATGCATGTATACTGTTGCACATGGGCTATAACCGTTGTTTCATACACTTTGCTTTTATGTATTACCTGGTTATAATTTTCACTTTAGTGTTTCCATATTGTTACTGTTGGCACCTTTTTGTATTTACCAACGATAGTTCGGTATTTTGTTATGAGCAGGCATGATAAATTAATTACATTTTTAACATCAGCCTAGGGTATGTACGATGGATATAGTTTCAAAGTTGCCAGTGGCAGCCATTGTTTTAAATGTGATTTACTTGTGTGCTAATGAATTATTTCATCACATATGTTCTATTCCTAATTCAGCCATAACGCTAATTAAAAAAATCAATATGTGAGATTCACAAAAATACACACTCTGACACAAACTTACACTCACACGAACACACATACACGCATATCACACACATCCGTCAGTGGTTCTAAAAATGAAAACAGCACGAAAGACAAATGTAAAAAAAAAAAAAAAACAATGGCAAAGAAAATTTGACTGACTTTAGTAGTCTTCACCTAGCACTGCACTTTAAAATAAGTGACCGAAATATCTGCTCCAGAGCCTATACTAGAGATATTGACGCAGACTAGGAGACATAGACTTCTAATGTGTGCTTTTGTGTGTGCCAAGGAGAAGTAGCGGAGAGAGTGAAAGACAGAGAGAAAGAGGGAGAGAGATAGGGGGAGAGAGGTTTATTAAAATAAGGCCAGCGATCTAGATCAAAATAAATAATGTTAAGCAAACATCCATGATCCCGCCATGGTCAGATATTTTACGAATTTGAATGTAAGTTAAATTTTTTTTTTTTTTTTTACTTTGGCCTGTTTTCTAGCATAAAGTTAGTAAACAGTATGTTAGACAACACCAGGTGGGGGAGAAAATGGCGAAAATGGAAAAGGGGCTTCATGCACAAAACATTCAACGGATGTCAAAAATTACGTCGTAAGTGTTTTGGGCATTAGACACAAGACGCAGTGGACCCAATCAGCAGCTCATTTAGAGCCACACTGCTGTCGATGTAAATCAATATTTGGATTTGAATGATCTGCTTTCGACGCAGACCCATCAGCACTAGATGGGTGTTGTGTTCAACATTCTTTACTTTCCTGACATTGTTTTTTAATACATTTGAGGCTTGCTTGACCTGGAATCCTAGATTAATTTAATTATACCGCCCAGATTTGGATTTGAACTCTGAACCTTTGCGCGGGCAAACAAGAAGGTTGTCACTGAACCTTTAAGACTCCTAGTTTAATAGTACTTTGAAAAAAAAAAAATATTGATTTCAAGATCACAGAACGTGTTGTGCTCACACCATATTACCTGAAGCGTGTCTCACAGTCACAGAACATTTTCAGATCCTTTGTCTGCTATACTGGATAAATAGTATTTGTGTGTGTGTGTGTGTGTGTGTGTGTGTGTGTGTGTGCACATCATTTGACGTCAACGGTGCCGTAACATGGGACCACTGGTAACTCCCCCCCCCCCCCCGCGCCCAAAACCAATGAAAATAATGAACTAGGCTAAGATGCCGATTCCTCTAATCTTTCCCTAATAATGTGTTTTTAAAAAACGTTAGTTCCGGATCCTTAAAAGGACGTTGAAGAACCAACATTAGCATCTTTTGGGTGTTGTGATTTTTCTTGGCAAATTTTACTTTTAAATGTTTGTTATGTCCATTGAACGGTCAGCTCTATGTACCACTGTCGAAACCAATGCAAGACAAACTGCCTACAGCTGGGATCGAACCCGGCACTCCGGCATTATAAAGCGCCTTCGCAACGCCTAAGCCTCAGACGCGGACAATAAAAAAGTGCACATAAACCAATTGCCAACTCTATCTCCCACTACAACCATGCATAGATGTTTTCTTTCAAGCATATTTAAAAAAAAAAAAAAAATTACATATTTGCCTTTCAGCACACTATAATTTATCAGCACGCACTTACCAAATCTCAAGCCTCTCTAAGACCGGCTTCAGAAAATGTGTGCGACTAAGCTGGCATGTTTCTGTGTGTCGGAGCCCATGTTCGATTATATACTCTTTCTCTGCCATAAGCCAAATTGAGACAGACATTTCAAGATCGCCTTGTATGTTACATGCGTGCTTTAAACTTTTATATACACATTTAGCCATTCCAGTTATCTGTTAAATC